GCGTGCGAGGATGGACTCAGAAGAAGGCCTGGGCCTGTCCACTCAAAAATATGGTCTCGGCTGGATAATTTTTTAGTCTTGGGGTTGGGGGTGTGTGATACTAGTATGAAGGGATTAAGAGGGAACGAAGGGGGCTCCTAGGATTTAGGGTTTAGTGTTTAGGGTTCTCAGGGTCTTGCCTCAGTTTGGGCTTGCCCTGGGCTTGTCGTGTTTGCTTTGGGGTTCGGAATTGAAAAGTTGTGGCTTGTTCTCTTCCAAAATATGAGCACGTGCGAAAGTTATGGTGGTGCTTGTAAAAAAGCCTGTCCTTGTTTGAGGATCCACTTGTTTTCGCAGAAGCGGGGAAGTTCAGCGACACATATACCTCGCACCAAGTTGCACGGTATCATGACGGATGCAACAGTTATCACACCAAAATTTCTTTTGGCTGTAACTAAAGACTCGTCATGCTGCGTCTGCTTCAGCAGCTGCAGCGTTGCTATTTGATTACTTTCCTTAGGTAATTAGATTGGGCACCTTGGTAGACGTGTTGACCGGCCAGAGTGCCACGGGAAAACCAACCAGTCATGCTCTCTTCGAACTGGTCAGGTAAGAGGGCCAGGTGCCACATTCTCATGAAGACATTCACTGTGATGATTTGGTTTTAGGCACAGTGCCCTCTGCTCACATTCGCATGCAGCCATCGCCCTAAGTAACGCTGCATCCATGACTTGGGTGTCCGAAGCCCAATCCTCACATTCAAAATCCGAGAAGCCTAGCCGTGGTTCTCCACTGAGATCCTCACCGCGAGATGGGTGTCCAACTAGCTCCTCTGTCCAGCTTAAACAAAGACCAAGCGAGCGCACACAGTCACCGAACTGGCCTAGACGGCCTAAAACTTCCCCATCCCAACCCCATTAAGGTATAGTCCCCCTCAAGTAGATAGAATATGGCTTGGGGTAGATTATAATAAGACCACCCATCTGCGCCATATTCTATCTACTTCAGGCGGATTATGCCCTGGACTGTACCTGCTCTTGTAGGATGAGGCCGATTCTACCTCGGAAGGGTGGATGAAGGAGGAGGCCCAAAGGGGTAGTAGTCTAAATGGGGACACTCCAGTCCCCTCATCCAACAGCACTGGTAGAGCACATCCTCTTTTAGGATGACAGTGCTTTAGTGTCAGCTGGTGCCAGTCATGGGTTTCACATGCTTGCAATTTGTGTGCTTAGCCCCCATGTATCGTGGGACATCATCATTTGCGAGTATATGCTGGTGCAACCATGAGGCTTTATTTGCTTTACTGAAAACAGCGCCCTCCTGATCCAGACCCCCTTTCAAAAGGCTTGATTAGATAAACAGGAATGTAACCGTACTTGGTTCAACCACCAAGAGCATGGTACTCAATGTACGACAGTCCCCCCTATTAGTTTGCTGTTATGAGGGTATGAAGTAAAAGCCTCAGGTTTCCCGAAATACCCAAAGTCAGTGAGAAGATGTACCGTAAAAACATGCACGACCTAGTCATGAAAAGCTTCAGATCGGAAGCTATCATGTAGGGCGTAGAGTTTTGGGTGGTACATAGACTTCATATAGCCCATTACGCGTATACGAGCTATACATGAGCTTTATACTGGGGCACCCACCTGACAATTACCCACCTGGAGGCTGTCCTTGACTTAGTTCTCCATGAATTATAAGTCTACTTTTCAATGCCAAGGCAGGGCAGGGCAAGCTCAGGCAATTGACTCTCAAACTAGGATCCGCATGGATCTATTTTTACGTATAAACCAATATGTCGTTATATGAGCTACGGATTTAAGTTAGGATGGGGGGTATAGTGGCACCTTCCTACAGGTAAGGAATATACTAGAAGTTTAGCCAGGTGTCATATATCCTTATATAGCCTTATCTATGCACCCCCCAAAATCTGAGCTCTCCATGGTGGGTCGTGAAAATTGGCATCCCTGCCTCGAGTATGAGTGAGTAGTAATTGTACAGCATAGTTGTCGTGATGGTATATACTAGTGGTATTAGTGTTGGTACAACAGTCCATGGATGTTGAAGGGATTTGGAGGGCCCAGGATCTGACAAATGGCTCTTGCAGACGTTGAGCACTGTGCCCTGCCTACCCCCTACTGCAGTATCACCCAACCACATAGACCCGAAAAAAGAAAAAACGCCTGAGAATGAAATTCCAAACCCAGGGAGTATTACCATTACTGTCCCTATTCCTATTGCCTGTTCCGACTCCTACTATTACTTCGGCCACCACTACTACTACTACTACTACTACTACTACTACTACTACTACGGCGGCGGCGGCGGCGGCGGCGGCGGCGGCGGCGGTGACTGCGACTGCGACTGCGACTGCGACTGCGACTGCGACTATGACTACTAACTGCTGCTGCTGCTGTTACTACTGCTGCTACTACTACTACTACTACTACTAGTACTACTACTACTACCACTGCTACTACTACTCAATAGACCTATTACCTCGAGAATCTCCTGTGTTGAGGAAGAACAGGAGAGCCCTGTGGATCGACTTCTGAGGCTGCAGAGAGAACTCAAGGAGCTCAAGCGGTGTACCTGAACCCTGAATAGTAGTTTCCATCTAATTTTCCATTATCCCAGGACCCAATATGACCCTAATACCCTAAACCCTGTATAGTTGAGGGATTTGGGGGATCTGTAGAGCTTTAACCCCTACCAGCATGTATGCACATCTTATCCACACTGCGGGCATATGCTCGCGCACACATGTGTGCATGCATGTGTGTTTGTGTGTATATATACATATATGTGAAATGTGGCAGATGGTTTGCTAGAAGAAGCCGTCATGGTCTTGAAAAGAGCAAGGTTCAGAGATAATTAGTTAGTGATGGCAATGGCCCCCCCGGTACTGCCTCAGCACAGGCTTCTTGCCTCCCAAGCTACATGTCCTTTGCACACGCTGGTCAGGAGGCATTGGAATTGCAAGCTCGTGGCTATGCAATCGTACCCTGGCTGTTCAGGGTATTTCCTGCGTGGGTGATGAGGGACAAGGATCTGAAATGGGGGGGTTGCTTGGCCTCTGTCTGACTCTCCGTTGTCCTAGAGGCACCAGGTGGGAAAGGAAATAAGGCTCCAAAGTGGAACTAATGCCTCCGCCCCAATGTGGCATCAAGGAGCTCAAGTCCATGTCCATCGCTGAAGAGAAGGAGATGCTGGAATTGGAAAGCTTGATTGAGGAGCATGGGCTGACCGGCAAGGCTCCTATTTGACAGTTGTGCAGTCCGCATTTTGTCCGCTGCTGCGGCCAGCAATCCGATCATGAATGCGATGGCTTTGTGGATAAGATCATCTGTCTGATTCTTTTGGTGTGTCAACTTACACTCATACCGATTGGTAGTAACTGGTAGTAGTTGGCACTGTCCTCGGAATTTGTTCCATGTCGCCACCCCCACGAACTATTGTAGCTATGCTGATCCTCTGCCCCTTCAGCATGGAACTGCCAACTGCAGGCCGCATTGGCGTATGTCTTTTGTGCCAAATTGGGATCTCTCGAACCTTGGGCAAGGAAACGCTGTCCTCAGGTGCCTGTAAGTTTAGGGATTACAGCTAGATACCCGAAATCCCAGGTTGTGGCCAGGAAATATACTATAGTCCTTGATAACTAACTACCTGTAGTCCCTGCTAAGTACTTACGATTTTACATGACACTAGTGTTGATCATACATATGCTTTCCTAGGTGAAAGGCTTTGCTCTTGTGGGTACTTGGCACGCGCACAGGACACAGGTTGGGCCCTGTAAATGCAAAATGTTCCCAAGGGCAAATAACAAAACTAGATAACCCTGAAATGCCCTGAAGGTGTGAACCCTATACCCCAGAGCCTGCATATACCATACTGTAGTACTTTCCATTTTCTTTTTCAATTATCCCTATATAATACTATATTCCCTTATTCCCTAAAGCCATTGTTGAGAGTCCTTTCTCAGGACACCATCCAACCTTCATGTGTTTGCTTGGTCATCGTATCATTGTCAGTCCCCTTTTGCCTTGCCACTGCTGGTGTGACAGCTGCCAACACTGCCACAAAAAGGTTGAACCATGCTTTTGATTTGGGTGGACCCTGTAATAGTGGGAAAACAGGAGCGATAGGAATATGGGAGGACCCGATTATAATCACCATTATTTCTTATAGGCCTTAGCTAGTACTGGGTTGGTGGCCCACTTAATCTCATTATGACAGTCCTAGCATTTTCCGGCCATTCCTTCTTGGAGTGAATACTCTGCCAAGGATGCTGCGTTCAACTATCTGGATGGCAATAGCAGCGAAGCTTTCGCATCTGTCTCATGGCATACTGGCCTGATGATCCTCCGCATCGATGCTTGCCAGCAATTTCTTCCAGGTTCACGAACGGAACTTGAGCAGTTTACACCATCATCCCAACCAGCACTCCCCTCCTTCCGTAAGCATGATCTGCACAGGCTGAAGCCCTAATGTCGGGCATTGAAGTGGCCACATGTTCGTCGTGCGTACTGTGAACGCCATCCATTCATGTCGTGGGCCCTTTGCTTGGACGAAGGACCTTCCCAAGATCGCAGGCCAGTGTGCCGCGGAACGGAGCGATCGGGCATGTGGTAACTGACTTTCAGGAACCGTATTAGTCTCACCTACTGAAGATCATGCAGGCTCATCTTCATCAACAGCCGTACCGCGGCTCCGCATCCGCATAGCCTTGGGCACAAAATCAGCTAGACATTGCGGGTGCGCTAGGAATCAATCAGGCATGAACATCGTTTCTGAAAGGATGCTTACTCATCCGCATGTGGACATACGTATACACGCATGTGTACGTATGTATGTATGTATGTATGTATGCATGCATGTATGTATTTGCATATGCAGAATTTTGGGTTACACGTGTATGTAGAACTTTAGGTAGACATGTATATCTATGTTAGTATATACACATACGTAGACAGAAAAGGAGAGGCCAGTGAGCGAGATGAGTCGGTCCGTTGTGAGCAGGCATGGGCAAGCAGCAGATGTTCTCCTCCATCACAAAGGGTGGGACCACGGTCTCTCGCGCTCCATGGCTGGTGGAGGTTGTAGAAGTTCCATTTAGAATCTGTGTGGGTCTGGTATGCTTTTTTAACAGGGAGAGCTATTTCGGAGTAGGACTAGAGCAAATGTACGATTCTATTCCCCTTACACTGGGAGCAATTCTGGTCGTGGTGGCGGGTCTATGAAAGCCTTAGTCCCGAGGAAGTGTGGCACGAGTACTTCGCCGGCGTTGAGGATTCGCTTCCCCCACTGCCCGGGCAGCGAAAGCCAAGGAGGCTGGCAGACGTCAACGTTCACTATCCATAGATATCCTGAAATGCCAGGTATCTATTTAGCACCGCAAGCAACTGGTGCTTCAAGTCTATGGGCCTCTTGTGTCGTTGTTGCTCTTTCATGTATAGTGTTGTGTTCAAGCATGGGGGAACGCGCACGTGGCGTATTGTTGCATGCCACCTCTTTCGACACATCAGACACATGATTATCATTAGGTGAATCCTCCATATCACCCTATAAAGCCCTTATAGTAGTTTCTTTCCCAGTATCCCTATATAACCACTAGATGATTCCTCCATCCCTACAGCCGCTTCAGCTTGATCGTCGTGCTGATAGCCCCTGACGTCAGGTTGGCACTGAAGCCAAAGCTGCCAGAGGCACCGAAGCCACCCGATCCGAAGCCTACGCCTAAAGCTCTTCGGCAAAGGAAAAAGATTTGGTGAGGAATCACACAAGCAGCAGAGTGTGGCATGGAGGTGCTTCATGTTTGAGGTTACCACAATCAGGGTCTGTTGATACATTAATCTAACCCCAATATAATCCCCATA